CTTTCGCTCGAAATGGAAGTTAGTTTAACAAGTGTGAAACAAGAGTTTCCTCGAAACCCAAATTTTCTTGGCATTTCCTCTCCTTTTGTCCTATCTCCTCTCCAGGACCTCCGTGAGCCAACTTCTAGTATCCTCTGTCGGACCTTCAGCCAGCGAACTACGGCACCGTCATCCGTCCGTGACTTGGCATTCTCGCCACGTCAGACGACCCGGTTCGTCGGAGTCCAAGAGAACGGTGCCGTCTGTATCTGGGATCTCCGCCAAGAGGCGCGTCCTTGGCTCACTTTTCAGGGCCACTCCTGCTGCATTCTTACTGTTGACTGGCACTCTGCAACATCCTGCTCCGCAGACGAAGGGTGGGTGACATTATTTTGGTTGAGCAATTTGAGAATAATCCTTTTTGCGAACGATATCTCTGGCATTTTTGTATCATGGAGTAGCTTCACCAAAGCCGATAACAGTAGTTGCACCGTTCTTGTCTTAACTTTCGCTATCAAAAGATCGTGAAATAAATAAAAAAGTAAATATATCTCAACCCTGAAATAATTGTAATAATAAGCTCCGTTGTAACTATCAATTTTAACGTGTCAGCGACAAGGGTTTTACAGGATATGGGTTATCGCAATCTAGTCGATAATGTATTTACTACCATCGGCACTCGTACTCAACTCCTGTGCTAGCTATTTGCATAATTGTATGAAATCCTGGAGCCCATACTTCGGAACTTAATATATTTGAGGGTCATATTGGATCCAAGTGTATTTAGAAAAGGTAAATTTTTCATGAGTAAATATTCAGTCATCCCAGGTCACTTAATCCTTGGGCCTTGCGCCAAACACTGGAGAGATTGTGTTGTAGAAATCATTGCGCATACCCCAAGCGTTAGGGGGAACTAGACTTGTCTGATAACTTCTTGCAGCCACCATTAGAATGATTAATTCTGATCAATCATAAGGAGTGATGTAACAAATTATCCTTTATTTATGAATAAAAATAATGGCCTCAGATTTGCAACCGATTTAAGGAAAATATTCCTCTACTGTTGTCGGGTCTGCTTCCAAAGTGTGGCAAAATGGTTGTGCCTTTACTATTATGTACTATAGTAACATTTAAGGGGTAACTGGGTTTCGATAGATCTCATGAGATAATAATGTTGGGTTAACTTGCATTTAGTATGAAAAAGATTCGTAGGTCGATCCCTTTGTTCTGCAGCAGAGACTTCATTCCTCATTTCTAATAAAAACGAACTGGTCTTTCCTCCCTTAAGCTACTCGACAGACATCCTCAGAGATGAAACGCATTCTTACAAAGTCTTTAAGTTAGTACTCGGTAAAGAAGGAAAGCTGGTTATAGCTATGAATACTTCCAACTAAAACGAAAATATATACATTAAAATAGAAGGATATGGGATGATTTTGTTAGTTCTTGACCCCTAAATATTAATACCAGTTTGATTATATCATGGATATTATTGTGGGCAGATTTTTAATTATGACGGAACAATAACAAAAGTATCCAAACGCGGATGTTTCACGTAATAGTAGCGATAAAAAATATAGTAACTAGTTAGGCTAACTAAAAATTGTATGGCCATCCATTGTCTCGACCTGTAAATGGCGACATTAAGATTATTGTGTTTAAGTAGACTTTAAAGACTACCAGTAAATCAGTAATAGGAGATGTATTCACCATATTTCGTTTAAGGTGATGAAGGAGTGGTAGAAGAATTTCACAGAGCCTTGCTTTCCAATAAGTTGTTGTCATCCAGGCATCATTGGACTGCAGTTTCGACATCACATAGGTCTTAGCAACACCACCAGCAGGAGTCATATCATTGTGGGAAAATTCTAGTACCATTCCTTCATCAGCCTAAACGAAATAGCGTCAATACATTTCATATTACTGATTTACTGGTAGTCTCGAAACTCTACTCAAACACGAAAAATAAGTAACGTAGTCGATTG